GGATATTCTCCCTTCTTTACTTTGGCAAGAACATTGAAAAAATCTTCTTTTCTTGACTCCCCTCCCATTTTTCTTCAGATTAATCCCTCTACCCTCAGACTTCCCATTACAGCTGCCAGCTTTCCGGTTAAGGAGAATCTTAATGGACTCCAGGACTTAGCTGTCAGGGTGATGCACTAATCTACACTATCACAACAGCCATGCTCTCTGAAGAAGTTTTGGCTGACTATCTTTAGGCTGGCACACTTAGGAGGAACACAGTTCCTGGAGTTAACCATTGTGTTATAGAATCATAGAAGTAGGGTCGGAAGCTACCTTGTAGATCTTCAAGTCTGACCCCCGGCCTGGGCAGGAGAAAAACTGGGCTCAAATGACTCCAGCCAGGTAGGCATCAAGCCTCTTCTTAAAGACCCCCAAGGTAGGAGCCGGCACCACTTCCCTTGGAAGTTGGTTCCAGATCCTAGCCGCCCTACCTGTAAAGTAGTTCTTATGGATGTCTAATCTAAACCTACTCTCCAACAACTTGTGGCCGTTATTCCTTGTTATGCCAGGGGGCACTAGGGGAAACAAGGTCTCTCCCAAACCCTTCTGGTCCCCCCTAGTGAGTTTATAGACGGTCACCAGGTCCCCCCTCAGCCTTCTCTTGTGGAGGCTGAATAGGTTCAGGTCCCGCAGTCTCTCACTGTAGGGTCTGCCCTGTTGTCCCCGGATCATGCGGGTGGCCCTCCTCTGGACCCTCTCCATGTTGTCCACATCCCTCTTGAAATGGGGCGCACAGAACTGGACACAATACTCCAGCTGTGGCCTGACCAGTGTCGCGTAGAGGGGGAGGATCACCTCCTTGGCTCTACTCGAGATGCACCTGTGGATGCACGACAAGGTCCGGTTAGCCCTGCCAACCGTGACCTCGCATTGTCGGCCCATGTTCATCTTGGAGTCAATAATGACTCCAAGATCCCTTTCTGCCTCCGTGCTCTCAAGAAGGGAGTTTCCCATCTTATAAGTGTGCTGCTGGTTACTACTGCCCAAGTGCAGCACCCTGTACTTGTCAGTATTGAAACGCATCCTGTTTTTGTTAGCCCACCCCTGCAACCTATTCAGGTCTTGCTGCGGTCTTTCCCTCCCTACTAGCTTGCTCACCTCACCCCAAATTTTGGTATCATCAGCAAATTTAAACAGATTGCTTTTCACCCCGTTGTCCAAATCGTTGATAAAGAAATTGAACACTGCGGGCCCGAGGACCGAGCCCTGGGGGACTCCACTGCCCACTTCCCCCCAGGTCAAATCCACATAAGTTGTGTTCAGGTTTTGTTGCCTTAGGCTGCAAAGCAGGGTTATCATTAAGAGAGTGGAAGTATTTGTTTAATTTGGCATGAGATTTTCATAAGAGGAAAATGACTGGTTCTAAGTATTGAAGTTGCTTTTGAAAATGGAACTTCAATTCCTAAGTCACAGGCTCTTTTGAAAATTTCCCCCTTGATCCTGTTGCAAAGCTGCTATGCTTGTACATTGTTTATCCTTAGCAAATATTCTTTAAAATATCTTATTATATCCTTTTAGAAATATCTTAAATTGCTAATTCTTTAAGACTTAGCAGCTGTACTTGACTACGGCCATGTACAGACATCCAGTTTCTCCTGGGAGAGTCACTGCTCTCCTAAGAGAAACCTGAAGTGTACAGATACTCAGGATTTTTCTCACAGACCAAAAATGGCTGCTCCAGGAGAAAAATAACCTAGGAACAACCCAGTTTAAATTATTCCGAGGAGAGTTTCTCCTGGGAGAAAATACATGTACACATTCCCTTCTGAGAGAAGCCACAGCATTGTCCTCCAGCATCCCAAGGGAGTTTGCTTCTACCCCCCTGTCCTGGAAGACTGTGTGCACTTAGGCTGGACTCTACTGCTCCAGCTAAGCAAGATGTGGAACAGGCCCCTTCCAAATCCCCATATTGGGCTGCAGGGAGACAGAGGCTGAGCAGTCTGGGTCATCCAATCAGGACTGCCCTATGTACTGCTGCCATCTGTCTCCTAGCAAACTGAGTGCCTACAGAGCATGCTGAGCTACGTCTACAGGGGGCCCCTGGCTGTACAGCATCAGCACTGCAAGCTCCTTGCTCTTCAGAGTCTTAGCATTTGAATGTGTTCAGGGGGTTCCAGGTATGTTTTTCAACCAGGAAAACACATGGAGAAGTCTCCTAGATCATTCGAACTTGTATACTCAGCCTAAGTAAGTAAATCCTGGGTATTGGAAACTAATTGTTTTTAGGATAATGTGTAGAAATAAGACAACACATCTAAAATTGAAACAAGTTTGTTATACTATAATTATACTTACATTGTGAGGTTTTGCATTTCCTCACTATTGCATTTCATTTATTAACCAATGTAATGTAATACGTGCAGGTGACGTTATTTTTGCCACTCTTTGGTGAGGATCAACCAGATGCAGCCCAGGTGCTTCAGGATGTTAGTGATTACAACCGGAGATTTTCAGGGCAGCCGAGATCTGTAAGTACAGCAGGGATAAGTCAGTGAATGAGAAACAGGTTAACACTGGTTTACAGAGTGTGATTTTTTTCTTGTGTGTGTTCATGCTACACAAGTTTTTCTTAGTAAATACTAGCTGCTTTAGCTGTAGGAGCAATAGTTGGTACATTGATATATATCTCTTTATGACTTGCACTTAAAGAATATAACCTTGTATTTCTGTTGTAATTACTTTCATATTTACTCACATACCACATGCACCTGTGATTCTCTTCCCTCCTCTGCCTCCCCCCTCCCCCCCAAAAATAAAAAAATTAGCCAACTAAAATTGGATTGCATGTTTTAAACAAGGAAATTGATTCCCAGATTTGAGGCATTAGGGATGCTGGAATGGCTGCCTGGGGCTGTGCTGCCTTTTTGGAGTGGCAGGGTCTAATTCTCAGCATTATTCACCCTTTCCTTGCAGCTCCAAAGCCCAAACTTTAATCCTGTCACAGCTGCTGCTTGAAGAGCCTGATCCTGTGGGCCCTGCGAATTCTTGTGGAGGATCAGGTCCCTCAGGCCCCAGAAGTGTGCTTGCCCAGCTTTCCCCTCTTACAGAGATGCGCCCCGGGCAAACTCTGGGGCATGTCTGTGTAAGCAGGGAAAGCTGGGTTGTTTCTGCCTGCAGAAATACGTTCTGGACAATCTCTGGTGTGTCTTTGTAAGCAGGGAACATGTTTCCCATTGTCTTGCAAGATCGGGTCCCTGCCCAATGAAGCAGATCCAGTTGTGGCTGACAAATCCCACCCACTGCGGATCCTCTTAATTTGGCAACAGCTAATTCTACCCTATCTTAGTTTACATGTGTGAGTGTAGCACAATGGGGCCCCATTTTGCTAAGCACTGTTCATATACAGATACTGTTTCTACAATTTGGATGTGTGCAGACAAATCCTAGTGATTTCAATGGCTTCTGTCTATGCATCTCATTGTAGAACTGGAGCTTTAGTAAGAGACGCTGTTCAGAAGATTTTATAATCCAAATAGACAGAATGGAGTGGGGGAGAGAGAATTATCCTTAGTTTATGGGGGTGGGGGGCCAAGGGGCACAGAAATTAAAAGCCTAATCTAAAACCACAGGACTAGCCCTCCATTCTAAGGGTAGTCTTAGAAGCTTTTGTAGACTTAGGCAATATCTCCTTTTAACTTCTATTTTGTGGCTCCACCTGTACTGGGAAAGGAGCCATTATTCAAAATAAGGCTCAGAAAAAAGGTTCAGCTTCCACTGAACTATGGCTAACTAGTATGGATGGAACCTTGGAATAAAAGATAAAAATAATGGAATCCCAGTGAGTTTGTTTTCTAACCTTCAAGCGTGACAAATCCCTTGAAAACCCATACTGGCCACTGCTTTATATTGTAGTTGTCTTTTTAGAGAAATTGTAATCCATTGCTCCTTGACTATCGGGTCACCAAGAAATCTCCAGATGTTTTCCATACTGACCTTTTTATATATATATATATATATTTTTTTTTCTTCACTTGCAACCCACTTGCTAAGTTTCTAATGTTCTCAACATTTTGTTTTCCTCTACTAGTTATTGTTTATTTACCATTTTAATAGATACTACTACAGTCTGGTGATTTCAAGTCTTTTTCTTTACTATACTGAACTAATATAGCTTGTATTCTTTGCTTTGAAATTCATATTCTGTTCTCATGTTCTCAGCCAGTAATTTATTTTCAGTAAAAAATAGTTCCAGAATGGTTTCTGTGGTAACAATGGCAACTAGCTGAATCCTAAAGTTACCTTTTTTTCCTTTATAAATTAAGAGCTATTTTAATGCAGTTGTGGCTTTGGCATTTGCTTTCACACAAATGAACATCAGAATATTCACCCAGAAAACCAGGAGGTACCCCTTAAATGCCTCCAAAATATCTGGGAGGTTAATGTGCTTCCCAAATTAATTATGGTGCAGTTTCAAGTACCACAAGGACTGGTCCAGGATGTTCAGTAATGTGACTTGATGGATTCCAAAGTTGGTATATGTAGGGGGTATCAATTTCATGCTAAGGAAATAAAATCCCTTTTAGGAGGTGTCTACTTTCATGTACTGTACCATGCTACAAAAGCGAAGTATCAATTTTCTTTCATTTTGTTTGCTCATAGATTATGGAAAGAATTATGGATTTGCCAACCTTACTGCGTCATGCTTTCAGAGAGATGTTTTCTGTTGGAGGCCTCTTCTGGATGTTTCGTATCAGAATATTCCTCTGTCTGGTAGGAGCTTTGCTGTATCTGGCTTCACCTCTGGATTTTCTCCCTGAAGCCCTATTTGGAATTCTGGGGTTTTTGGATGATTTCTTTGTCATCTTTCTGCTGCTGATATACATCTCCATCATGTATCGGGAAGTGGTGACACAGCGACTGAACAGGTGAAAGGAATGGAAATGGCCAGGATGCTGAAGCTTGCATGAAATGTTGGACAAAGGGAACCATGGCACAAGTATGATAATAAAGCACCTATATACATTTTCATTTTTTTTTTTTTTTACAATTACATCACTTTTACTCGGTCCGCTTATGCAAATGTAAGGGGTTAAAACTTAGCAATGTTGCCTAGAATTTTTAGTTTGTGTATTACATACTCTTAAACAATGATGAGGTGAGATA